ATGTATCAACTTTAAAAACTGACTATTGAAATTTTTATAAGCATAACAATAACACCTCCATAATGGCCCAATATTCCCGAGAACATTAGGTAAATGTAATAGCATATATATGTTAACAGAACAATAGTGCAGACCATATAGCAATTCAAAATCTTGTACAAATTTCTTTAAAAAATTATCTGCTGTGTCAATCATTCTATCAGAAATATCATCAGTATTTAAAGCAACTATTCCAGTCACTATTAATAAATAATATTGAAAAAATTGATTTTCCATTATACCATACAAAACTGGCAGGATCTAATAAAAAACCACATCTTCATTTCTGAAGTTTTCCAATGTAATAAGTTCTGAATAACTTCAGGCATGCGATTAACATACTTTGGCGGTTTAATATTTTTTAAACGTTCATCTATTACTTTAACTACACGAAATAATGAAAATGGTGCACCTGTATACTCTGTAATGAACCATAATGATAACTTTTCAACAACACCATCATCTACCTAATGCGTCCTATCTATAGCTGCACCATCAATAAAATCAGACATGATGTAAGATAGAATCGAAGGTCCTTTGACACACATGTACGGTGTTTGTCTTCTGTTTGCTTTTTCAACATACGTTCTTGTTTGTTCAGTTGATCGCCGAATAATATTTTCAAGGTACCTGAACACATGTGTTGAATCTCCATTAGTAGAAGGCACCCTCTCTCCAGTGTGTAGGCAATTTATACAGCTATAGTAGAAGTTATACTGCATCATATTTAAAAATTGTTCTTTAGCAGGTGTATCACACGTAACAAATCGTAAAACTGCTGGAACAGTTGTAATATATCCATCAGCAAGAGTAAAATTTTTACCATCTCTAAGTTGTTCAAATTGAGAATAAAGCTTCTGCATGAACATAGTTGCTTTCGGTTTTTGTCTTCCGAACCAGAGTCCAGCTAATAAAATATTTTTACGTTTGATACCTTCTTTAAATGGCAGCTCATTAATAGTGAAACAATATATCATTTTCATGACAAAGTAGTCCATTATTAAAGCAAAACAGTCGATATCAATAACCATCATATACATCACTAATAATATTATCTCCTCTTTTCCCTCTACGATTGCGATGTTGTAAATTTTGGTGGAAGTTTGATCGTTTATACAATTCCGCCAATTGATTACATAATGATAACATGATAAAATAAGAACGTTTAGTTAAAGTACATTTTTAACAAGTATCGTTTACTGATCTCAAGCTTGCTAAACACGAAGAGCAATAATAGTGTCTTATAATATCAACAGAATTTTCTTTGCCTATTGCAAAAAATTTCTTGAATTTGTGCAAGCTGTTTGGACGTAACCTACTGGATAAATAATGCAAGTTAAATGCGGATATCATATCTGCTATACATGTCCATGTCAAATTTTGAGGGGTGAATAAATTCGCTATTGAAATCATACTCTCCGAAACTGTTATATTAGCTTCTTCATATAATGGTATATCACCGTCATCGAATTCAACAACTTCATCCTCTTCTCCTAATCTATATTCAATTAAATCTCCTTTATTTTCTTCATACACATAGATTTCCTTATCTTGTTGTCTTCCATCTACTCTATTTTGTACGATTTCTTGATTTTCTTCCTCTCTTAAACCTTCAACTTCAAATCTCAAGTCTACATGAATTTCACCTTCAGCATCAACATCATAGGGAATTTAAATTTCTAGCAATTATAACTTTATTTAAAGTGTTAATATCAAACAAGTTGTTGCGTAAACTTAACCGCAACCTGTCAGCTGGACTCGCTCTCATCTCAGCTCGTGCTCAGTCGAGCTCATCAGACCTCCTCGCCTTATTCTAGCTCTTGTTTGAGCGTTCGACGAATCTTAGCTCTTCTTCTCCAACCTAGCTAATGACAATTGTCCTACCATTGTGTAAGGTCTATCGACGCATTAACGCTCACGCGACGCTCAAGTACACGTGCTCTGTTACCGCTCCTTCTGTTTTCTCATTAAATAATTATTCTAAGCTCTATCCAAGTTCAAAAAGGTTCATAACCGCTCTGTTAAGCTCTACTAGTGTTTATCATTCATTATTAACGTGATGAATAGTTTATTTTTCTACTAAAAATTATACTTAAGCTCAATCAAGGTGTCTTTTGTGTTAGTTCTCTCGCCTGACCACATCCTACAGCGTAGCTCATTTACTATTATTACTTGGCTCTAATTAAACATTCTAAAACAACTAGCAATTTATTTGCGTTAAAAATACAAATTACGATTAACATTTATGAGTGAACATAAATTTAAACACTGTAAAAAATATAAACAAATTCATCTCTCACCTGATTTTCATTCTCTATTTGTTCAGCAACATCATCAGTACCATTATTACTTACTACATCATGTTTATTTCCATCAACTTTATCTCTGATAAATATGCTCCTTAAATATTATCTCCTTTGTCGACTTGATAAGTCTCCAAATTGTTTATTTGACATTACTGAAGTTATTAAATATCAGTCTAGAAAATCAATCACTTATTATACAAGCAATACATCTTCCAGTATTACTTAAAACGCGAATACATGAATTTTTTGGCTGTTGAACGAATTAGTATGCCTAAACAAGTCAACTATAAATGTTCAACTCCAATTAGAAATATATACTATCAGTATAGTATGTTTACTGAAATTGATGTTGAGGCCAGAGAAAAGTTCAATGCTGTATTAGATTTGGAAAACACTTCAGATCATCCCAACCTTTTCTTCTGGTTGGAGGTTCAAATTTTCAATTGCATGTAGAAAAAATTAACCTCAAAGCGAGAACTAACTTTTTACTTTCTCTGTTCTTTTGATGATTTTAGAATAATGTACAATGAAAATAATGCATTCCATTAAGAATTTTTTTTTTCTTGGCTATTTAATAAAAAATAAATAAATTCACTAATATAGAATGAATTGTACGTTCATTTATTTTTAACTAAATAATGTTTAGTTTTTCCGTTGAGGTCACTAGCGGCATCCGGACCTCTGATCGCGTTTATGTACTTACACTTTATCAGCCATTTTCTGGAGACATTTAATAAGAAATGTCTGCACCCAAAATAGTGAATTATTTTATCAGTTTCTCATGCTTCCAAAGACTAAGATTATAGAAAAGGCTCTTGCCTTAATCTTTTAGGTTCAAACTTGTAATAAAACAATAATTGAATTATCTTTACTGCCAAAGAGTAAACGCAAATGTGGAAACATAGTTCAACTTTTATGGGATCAGCGAAAAGGAATAAGAGAAAAATGAGCAGCTAAAAGTGTGAAATTTGGTGGTAGGTAGTTATTCATATCATATTTTTGAATTTGATAGTGTTGCCATAGAAAAATATTGTTAAGTACTTGAAAATATATGCATTCTCTTATTACAAATATAATATTTTTGTTGGATGCAGATGATGAAGCTTACTTAGATTGGATGATGCTGGTAATATTATTTGTAATGATACTCAGATGTTTTTACAAAACATGTTAAATAGAAAGAGTACCTTGGAAGAATCAAATAAGCAAGCTGCTTGTGCCCAAAAACAACATCAGAAAGAACTTGAAACGACGATGCTTGTCGATAAACAACTATTGTTTTCGATTGATAATATCCTTACGAATAATGTAACTTTATCAATAACAAGCCATACAACTGATGAAGAATGCAATCCAAATAATTACCCAGGTACTCCTGTAGAGGAGTACAATACACATAGTTATAACCGACAACAGTAGTTTCGATCACGAAATTTAGGTTATGTAGAGAATGAAGGTAAAGAGAATTTATCACCGAATGAACTCATATCCCTAGATGAACATCAAATACAGAAATGTGAAATTGGTGTTCTCCATACTTTTTTCCATTTGAAAGGTGTGCATTAATCATTCGTGTGTGTTTTGCGAAGAAAAGCCAACAATGTCTAATGACAAAATAAATTCTTTATAGTCTCTGAAGAAAACTTAATGTTTCTTTGTCAATTAAGATCAGCGTTAGAGAGAGCATTCCGTTATCAAAAAAAATTTACCCCGAGTCAACAGTAGATATATCGGAATATAGTCAGATTTTACTACTTTAAAGTTGTTGTTTAGCTCAATTGTATTGTAGAAAGATCTCACTCTTTTTGTGAGTCTTTATAATTTAGAAAATTTTTTACGTCAGAAAATGAACTCTTATGTAATGCAAATAGTTTGTTATCTTACCATAGAATAATGTACATATTTTAATTCTTCACTCAGATTATCAACGAATATAAAACTGCAGGTATTGGAAAGGTAACAGTTGAAATTTTCAAAATATTCCTTTATATTTATATACGTTTTATTCAATCAATTCTTAATTACTTATATTTCTGATATGTATATATTTCCAGAGAGAAATTGTCCAGAAGAGTGATATTTAATTACCCATAGAAGTTATAGATTCAATTGAAAAAAAATTCAGTGACTAATAATGATGATGATGAGACTTGAAAGAAATTATTACAATCAGCATTGGTTGAGGTTTATGGTAATGCTATTGGTTATTATTGTGCAGCTGGGAAAGAGAAACAGCATCGTAAAATTGATTCAGCACTTTTCTGCCGAATGTACAGTAAGTAATTATAATGATATTTGAAAAATAGTATATAATTGTATTTTTATAAATTATAGATAGCAAAGTACTTGAATTTTTTTCATCCATAATTGCTATGTAATATTTTCGATAATTCAAATGTCAGCTATATTTTACAGATACCATACATATTAATGAAATAATTTATATTTTCAACAACTTTCTTTTGAGCAGTGTTCTACTATTACCATTGTAGGTGTCGAAGTTAATTATAAAAAATTATTTTCCAAATATTTAATATTTTATGGTTCATGGTTGCAAGTTCTAAGCTTGCTTCATTCAAAAAATTTTCTATCAAAGTTTTCTTGTCAAATTTTCTTTATATTTAATACGTAATAACGTTAATGTTTTCAGAGTGGATTTACAACAAATGTTCAGAAGTAACTTTTTCGCAAAAGACAATCATTGATTCAAAATGGGGTTAAAATTCAAGAAATTCCTGACTTAGGTATCTTAATATTTAGTATTTTATTTTTTATATGTTTTAAATTTTCTTATAAATTATTGATATGTTCAGAATATAATTCATACATAATTGTAAGCATTGAACTTATTATTCTATAATTACTAACAAGAAATTATTTAACTCTGTTAGTTACAGATGCTTCGCGTCATTTTTTTGACATAATTATTAAGGCAGCATATACTAAAAATAAATGGCACTAACAATCAGTGGCTATAGAAAAACTACTCAACTTGGTAAAATTATTTACTAAAATGTTTGTCATTCATTTATAAGTGATGTTCAATTAATAGAAGATTATGAATTGAGGGTTTTGATTGTCTCAGTAGCTACAATTATCATGATTTGTTTTAGATGAATGGTCATTTTCTTCAACCCGGACCCGATGAAATCCGAATTTCTCCAATTCACAACATTTTTTTTCCACGATCTATATGGACCTACATAGAAAAACCTACTCAATAAAAAAATCTAAACTTGTGTTCTTGGACGCAGCTAGTAAAAGAAGCATGAACAGAAGTACATGGAGACAGCTTACAATAATACTATGCTACAGGTGTTCGAACATCTCAACCACCCTTAGATCCACAACTATCCAGAGCAATCAATGGTGATTTATTGATATTATAAGAGAAACAAAGTACAGAACTTGATGATATTATAATGATTTCCAAAACTTTCTTTGTAGATTGGGCAAAATCAAGATCAGAGGATAAATTTGATTTCAGCCATTATTCAACTCACCGTGGTAGAATAAGTTGGAATAAAAGAAGAAAAAAAATCCCATCAATATCATCGAAGATTCAAAAAACGACTTCATCAGCCACAACATCCGCTTCGTTAACTAAAATATCAAATACTACAGAAGATAGTTCATGCACTGCAACAGTAACTCCTACTGCTATATCACCATCAACGAACGAACCTTCAGTTACGCCATACTTTCTTTTACCAACAATTACTACACCTCTTCCAGTACATATTAACTTTGCATGTAAAACGAATATATCTTCAGTTTGTAGGAGCCTTCTTTCAAAAAAAAAAAAGACAACTCCAGTTACAAAAAATTTTTCATTAGCTACACCTCCAGTTTACACGCACTTCCCCTGGCGAACAATGTTTTTCCAGCTTCAATAAATCCTATATTATCTTGAATAAATACACCTCTACTTACGACAAGTCAGTATGATCTGTATCATAAATATTATTTAGGACAGAACAATTAAGCTTTCGATAAAAATGGATCTGATAGATTGTACGGTACTATCAATAAGAATTATAGTGATATTGATCATTTTGATAATGGTTATAATAAAAAATAAGTCTTGGAAATTATTGGCTTTCAATTCATTTTATCCAAATTTTATAGATAGTTTTTAAAAATGAATTATTTTTAACATAATTTTGAAAATAACAAATTATTATAATTTATATATTAAATTATTAACTTGATAAATTTATTAACCAAATAGTTTTAACCAAAATTTTATGTGTTATCAGCGAAATTTGGTGTGACAACTCTTATCGTGGCAGAAAAGTCTGTCACATTAACTTTTAATATCTAAAACTCATAAAATTTTTCCCTTATCGCGGAATTATTTTTTTTTCATTCAACCTCTTCCTTTTCAGTTCCTTTCAAAATATCTCGATGTGACAGCTAAAAACTTGACCAAAATATCTGTCACACCACTTCATATTACAGCTTCAACCCTTTATCATTATGAGAATGGAGCATATTTAAATTTTTTTCTATTCTGTTTATAATTTTCGGCACAAAATATAGTCTTTGTCATCTATAATTCTTTCTTTTTTGTATTTAACTTTCGAATTATGTATTACCCTTATTATGTATACTATATTATACCTGAGTTACCCTAAAAGCCTCGAAAATGTTTATCTCATCTTTGTCCCTTTAGTTTCGATTTGGAGCCCTGTTGAACGATACAACATTTTGATCAGTTTGCTTGTTAATTTTTTTTTTTTTAAATGTCTGTCACACCAGTTAGATTTAGGTGACTTCAGAAATATGATATTCTATTTTTGTTTCTTTATTTATAATTTATTTATTAAAAAAATTCATCAATCAATATCTGGAAGGCAAGTAAAGGTCATTTAATTGATAAAAATGTATTGCTGGAAAACATTGTTTATTTATAAAATTGAGCATTCTATCTATTTATAATTCTGTTAAATTTTACACATTAAAGGAAATAGAAAATAAAGGTCATACGTTCAAGCTATATACAAACATCATTTACTATTAAAATTAGACAAGAATTTACTCAGAATTATTCATATCATCACATTCAAAACATTTATTTATATGGGATTCTGTATCTTTCTTTTCGTTTTCCTCTTGATCCTGATAATTTTGAACAATTTCATCAATGGTAAGAAGAGCTGCCTGGCCAATATACCATAATGGTTCTAATTTATTTTTTTTACTAAGTTGCCAACCACACACTGTCGGGTCTGATGTAATGGACGATTGTTCGGTTACATTTTGCCACATTACATTCATAAATATCGTTCTTAAAATTTTTTGTAACAATGATTTCTAACAGGTAGGAACATTGCTGGAATTGAAGTGTATTATGCTCTCATAAAATCTATTATTGTTGCTGGTACTAGCAAAAAATTTTAAGAATAATTTGAATCTCGCCGTATTAACACTATTACTATTGATTTTATAAAGTTCATGAGTGAATTTTTAAAGTATATCAGTTTTTTCTTTATTCTAAATATCGTCTGGATCTGTGAGATGTTGAAAAGCATGTTAATATTTTTCACTTTAAGTTGAAAGATTATACGCTTTTATTTTACCTTTACGTACGAATGCTGCAGTGTAATCACTCCTTGTAAAGGCATGAAAACCTGGCAAAGCTCGGTAAAGTGCAGAACCTAATTTTTCTGCAAGTACTGTACAATTAATGTATCCATGTAAATTATTATTTTTAGTGGTAATCCATATTTTAAGACTATTATATTTTTGAATGTTGCCAAGACAAATAACCAAGACGTCGGTATCGATTGATTTAGTCATGATGTTAGAGTTTTTTAGGCATTTCATTAAATGAAAACATCCTCTTTATGATAACAGGCATGATTTTCATTCTGTTCTCTGTGTTATGTCCCACATATCATTATATTTTTCTCTAATTCTCTTGGACTTCAATAAATTAATTGCTTTACTTAATTTAATGAATAGTGACCTAATAAATAAATTTTTATAAATCATGAATGTTTTGCTGACGATTCAATGTCGAAACGGAGTATTAACTTTCGCCTTAACGAGTCTTCTTGACGAAACGTTGATCCTCTTGCAAAACATCGAAGTTTTCCACCCTGGCGACGTGGATGACGTTCGGGCCTTATTTAAAGGAGTAGAAGCTCCTATCGAGGCTTTTCGTCAATGACCGTAGACTCGTCGAGACGGCCCGCGTACCGAGCATCGCGTAATAATCTCCTTGTTAATGGAAAATATTTCTGAATCTCTACGTTTCTCTGGAAGGCAAGCTTAACCTCGAGCGTACCGAGAGTCGTAGCTCAATGAGCAAGAAATATGGAAAATCGTGGTGTCGAAATTAACTAATAATTAAATATCAATAATAAATTCCTTATCGAGTCCAAGTGCAAAGTATCACATTGTAAACTCAATATAATTAAACTAAGTAAAGTGAATTGTTTATCCAGGTTCTTACGAACAGTTAAATTGAAAACTGTCGTTACTTTATAATAATCAAATCTCGAACTCTAGTTATAAATTAAAATTTATACATCAAATAAAAGAATATCTTACATAAAAATAAATAAGTGTCTTCGAACCTAACTATCAGTGGCTCTTGATATTTGTCTTCAATATTTCTGACCCTTCTGGCCCTTATTGAGAACCATCAAGGAAGGAGAGTAAGCATGGTAGTTTCTGTTTTTGGTCCCCTTTTCATGGTAAGTATAAATTTTCTGAATTGAAGTCAGATCTTAATTATTTGCCTTTTTTTTCTCCTTCCATACTCAACTCCTCGCAAGATAAACTACATAGAACCGCCACACCCAGTTAAGATCACAACGAATCCCTAAATCAAAATCAAATAAAGGGAACGATCTTTCGTACCTTGAAATTTACTGTTAGTCCGAGCGCCCCTTTCACGAAAGCGTGCTACCCTTCATCTTAAATTTTGGCTTTTTAAGTAGTTATTAATTTGAATTATTGAATTAAATAAACTCGGACATAACATCTGGACATCGTCCAATTATTATTCATATAAAATTTGAATATGCTCCATTCTCATAATGATAAAGGGTTGAAGCTGTAATATGAAGTGGTGTGACAGATATTTTGGTCAAGTTTTTAGCTGTCACATCGAGATATTTTGAAAGGAACTGAAAAGGAAGAGGTTGAATGAAAAAAAAAATAATTCCGCGATAAGGGAAAAATTTTATGAGTTTTAGATATTAAAAGTCAATGTGACAGACTTTTCTGCCACGATGAGAGTTGTCACACCAAATTTCGCTGATAATACATAAAATTTTATATAAAATGGTATTTTAAAATTAATTTCCATAAAAGTGCAAATTACTTAGAATTATTAGAAAAATAAAAAATTTATCAAAAATATTTCTGCCAGGATAAACTCTGGCACACCAGGCCTATGTTGTACCTATGATCGAATAATATCAAGAGTAACTGCTCGTTACTCTTGCCATTTCACGCCCTACTTTTGCCCCCTCCCTCTTTTTGGCACTCTCTCTCTGTCTGTCATGTCGCGCGACGAGCGGAAACTCTTACCCACAAATCTTTGTATTTCTCTTCTCCGCAATCTTATTTTCTTTATTTACTCGGAAATTATGCGATATACCAACGAATTATGCTTACATTCGCCATTTAAATCATCTACGAGCTTTCATTTACTGCATAGATAATAATTTCTCATTTCTTCTTTAAAAAGATATTTAACTCTAAAGATAAAAAGTTGGAAGTTTTCTGAAAAACGTTCAGCTATTTTTCTTCTATGGGTGGTTCACCGGGTGACGCTGAGGCATCGAAACGAAATGCAGAAAATATCTAAAAGATTCAAATGAGAAAGTGACAATAAAATAAATTGTAACAATAGATTCGAGTTCTGATTGCAGTGTTCTAATTGATGGCTCAAGTTGACTAATAGTAAAAATTTTTTTATGTAAATTAGTTATAAAAATTGAATTTGTTATGAAAAAATGGAAATGGAGTTTATGCAACATATCCGATTTCTTTCAACGATAAATACTTTCGCTTATTAAGAAAAAGTTACTAACCGTATAACTCAAATAGAAACGAACTCTCTTTGTTTATAACAATAAAATTTGTTGGAAGAAACTAAAAAATAGGTCTATGCTATGAATGTGATTTTTTTCAACATGAAATGTTTTCTTTTAATGAAAAAGAGTTACTGACAACGTGAAATAGAGATAAACAATCTCGATTTGTTTATAATAATTGAATGAGAGACCTATGCTATCAATTTGAGTTTTTTCGATGAGAAATTGTTTCTCTTCCTGGAAACGGGTTACTAACTCTATTACATGGGTATAAAAAAACACTCTTTGTTTTTAACAAATATAATTGTTATTAACAATTGAAAACGAGATCGATTCAATGATGGTAGTTTTGATGGGATCTTACATTACCGGATAAATTAAGGTAGTTGTCTCTCGAGAGCTCATACTAAAATTCATTTTGCTTCAGTCAAATAGAATTAATTGTGTATAAAAAAATATTTAATAATTGTACAAAGTTACATAAAATTATATATGTAGAAATTAATTTTAATACGATAAAAGTAGTACATTTAATAATTTCTAGAAAGTATTCTTAATAATTCTTTTTTGTATAATTTGAAACCAAACTTTGTACGGACCTGTACCAATACATCAACGTTATTTATATATGTGTACCACCACATTACTATTCTTCAATTTGTTGTCAGAAAATGAACGTGAACAATTTTTTGTTCAACGACTGAACGTCAAAATTGTCCCTGCTTAAACATTTCTATTGAAAAAGACTAAATCTTACAGGCTGTTTCAGAATTTAAATAAGAAACATCATATTTGAATGGGAAAAGATGAGAAATTTTCACCACCTGAAAAAACTCTAATAGGATTATACAAATCTGAATAGGTATGAAAATAATGATCGTAAATCCCATAGGACTTCAAACTTTCTTATTCACACAACTAAATAGGATTATGATGATTCTAAAAGGTAGTTAGCAGTTCTATAAGAAACGGAGCGTTTCTATGGGAAATAATAAAAGATATTTGAATAAGAAACTAACTAATTGAATAGGATCATGCGATTTAGAAATTGTTCATTATTATCTATCGAACCTCGATAAGATTCTGCATTCTTTAATGGGTTTGACTTCTCCAACATACTATTAAGATTTACTGATGATGAAAAAAATTTATTAAGTCGTATTTCCCTATTAAGATCTATTCATCTCCTATTGGATATTAGAGTAGTCAAACCTATTATAACGTGCGAAATCCTATGGAGGTTTAATTAGTTATCGAAATTATTTCTAAGTCGTATTTCCCTATTGAGTAGATATACCAGGAGTGTTCACCCGCCCAATAAAACAGATCGAGGTTTGTGTCTGTGCTAAGTTGGTTCGTGCCCGTGCTACATTACCGACGACTGGCTGTTCTGTTTTACCGACAGAGCACTTGCAAACTGGTGGTCAGTATTCTCTATGGATCGAGTAATTGGCGGTCAGTGATTGTATGATTTTTTGTAGATTGACTCGATTTTTGTAGTTCTGTACCGACCGACAGCGCAGATAATTTGCCGTATTTCCGATATTACGCACTTACGTTATAAAAATAATGTAACTGCGCAATTTCAGGACATTACAAGCAAGTAAGGACTTGTTAATGCAAGTTCAAACTTGTTCACGCAAATAGAGAGAAGATCAGTTTTTCAAATTCAACCCCTCTCTGAACAGTTATGATGGAATAATTCTGTTTCCGAGTAAAAATTTTTGGGGGCATAGCCATTCTATGCCTTGGGATTTTGGTAATATTGAGTATAAACACCTCAAAATCCTGCTTACTGAACTTTTACAAGATGCAACTTACATTTATGTGTTAGGGGCCGAAAAGGTAGAGTGGTTAAGAAATTTTGTCAATATACTTATTATTGATGTAGCTAAAATGCGATACATAAATTATCTGGAAAATAATGAATGAAAACAAAAAAATTCGGATGTACACATAAAAATGTACGGCACATGAAAGAGGGGTTCAAGTGTCATTGGAATCCATCAGGAAAAAAATCATTACAGCTGTTTTATTAACTGCAGAGTTTGAGGAAAATGTCACCAAGTGACATTTCCCATTTCGACGATAATTCCATATTATAATTTGCAAATTCTAAAATTCGCGGAATTTAGTCGAAATTACTAACACAACTACAAGATCAAAGATTCATCAATTATTTACGATGTTAAGAACATTATACATCATTGTCAGATCATGTTGTAAGAAATTCATTCCTTCATAAGAAAAATTGTGTAAGGTGTCAAAAAAATTTAATAAAATTTTCATGTAAAAACATTTATTTCTTTTTAATTACATTGATTAATCTGGGATTAAGTTATTTAATATAAATCACTTTCTCAAGCAGCTCCTCCTCAAGGTCGGGCAGCTCTGAATGGTCTTCATTACATCAATTTCCGTACTTGTCCACTTAATGACTTATATTCTATGATACGATCATGAATAATTAGACAATAAGCTGATGTATTAGCAAGAAATTGTTTTGTTGATTTAAATTCTAGTCGAACATCAACAGGTCCAGATTTGAAAGATCCGTTTTGCTCCGAGCAATCAATTACTATTAAAAGTGATGTATCCAAAAATTGCTTCTTTGAGAGTAATGGCTTAGCTTCTTTGCCATAGTATGATACTTGAAAATCTTTATACATGTCGTATAACAGTGCATACTGATTGTGAGTTATGTCGAGATTTATGTTGCCGTATGGGTATGACTGTGAATTGAGAAACAATTTAACATCTCTCAAATTGCAGTGAACAAATTTACTTGTATCTTTTGTAGCATCATTTTTACGTGCAGTTTGGAATGCAAGTATTACATATCTACGTTTTTTGAGTTGTGTTGATGTCTTTACAACCCACACATGTTTCATTGTTCTTAGAAGGAATGGATATTCATACAATTCCCAAGATCTAAAACTCAGTGTTATTACCGGATCTTTTGCAATGTAATTCAATAGATTTACTTCTTTCATATCTGAGACCGTGATGGAAGGAATTATCCATTCAATTTTTATAAGGGCAATTTTTACATTTGTATCAGCTGGCGCTTGTATAATGGCATTTAGATCCGTATTTGCACGTGTCAATACTAATTCATGTTTTGCATTGACAAAAATCCACTGATAATCTTCAGCAAATCCCAATAACATCTTCAATGGAATAAAAATGTCAAAATTTCCCTCATTGTTATATAATTGTTATCCATCATCTAACCAGCCGGCATTATAGAAGTAATTTTTCTGTCCAGGATGGAAAGATAAGTTGCCTTTTATGAGACTTGTGAGGCCGACATTTTTGTTGCGATCAATTTCAATGCCATTGAGTTCGTATCGAATTTCTCCGAATAAGCAGCATATAGCTATGTTTCCGAGTCTTGATGTATCTGCGACGGCCTGGCCATTGAGCTTGGAAAATTTCCCAGTTATATGTAGAGAACTTTTACTCGGAAGTAAACACAAATCTTAATATTGGACTGAGATGCGTATTTCGTCATTGTTGTTGAATGTTGCAGAAGCATATGGCTGATGAGCGTGCACTTCATAATGTGAAATGGACTCATCAAATATTACGCCTCTATTGATAGCTAAGATTTCTTCTTCCGCAACCATGGTAGTAGACATGCAAAACAGCACACTTTCACTTGATTTGTTTGCGTAGTTTCAGGCTTAAGCTTTTGACTGACGATATTCTGACATGGTAACTCAGTATTATAGCTCCTTCCAATGATTGGCTTATAAATAATTCCCATTATTTTACAGATTTTACATGTAATCGTATTATTATTGTTTCTTCTCGAAAACTGACTGATTCTTCGTCTTGATCAACAATTTTTAATTGTATGTGATGTATTGCTTGCACGGCGATTGGCAGATAGATGACGTTGGATGGCACTTAAATGATTTTATATCCTGGAAGAACTGAGGGAAAGAATTCATGAATTGTATGCACTAGTCTATTATTCATGTAGGCTCCTGTTGTAATGTTACACTCGATTTTCAGTGCATTTATTTTTAAGATGGACATCGGAGAATTAGATGTCTGATTTGACTTTGGAGAAACAAATCGTGAACTAAACCCCAACAAACGACCATTCGAATCGTCGGGTTCAAAATTTATGAGTGCGTTTTCACCAAAAATTTTACTGTGTAACTCATTGCTGTTTGGCTTAATAGTAATTGATAATTTAGGATCAGCTTTCTACAAATAATTTCCAATGTCTTCAATTTCGTAGCTCCCCGTTAGTATTTCAATAATTTTCTCATTATTATTTATTGTATAATAAAATTTATTATCTCCTTGGTCAAAAGTTGGGATAGAATTGAATGTTGATAATTTAACAAGTCCCAATACATAATTTTTGGACTTTGTTAATTCAATCTATGGGAAATAATAAGCCTCCAATATGGAGGACTGTCCAGACAATGTTATTGTGAATGAATTGTCCATTACTGGAGTATTTTTATTATTTCACTATTCTTTCATGCTTTTTCTTAAAGAAATTCCAAACATAAATGTCCACAATTTGTCGTTGAATAATCTGGATGCTTTGTATGATTGTAAAGTATGCTACCAACATCAAAATATTTTTCAAGTTTTGGCGGTGGTTTTAAATTGCCAAAACTGTGAAAGTACAAGATTTTATTTTCTCGTTTTTCATATGCCACCCAGTGAGCTCTAGATCCATCTTTATCATCAAGATTAATTATAGCTGATTCATTTTTCCTGGGTTTCGATTTCGATAAATCATTTCTCATAAAAACCCCACGAAAATATGGAATTTTCATGATTTTTGCATATTTTAAAATATCGATGTTACTCAATGCTCGATGTGGTAGCTCTATGCGTTTTTTTGCCGGTTTCAAGTATAAACCATATCTTCGTTTTCAGCGTAGACCTCTACCCAATAACGTTTTGCTTCATCCAATTTTTTCTTCCGACCTTTTCCAACTTTTTTCTTTTTTCCCAATTTTATCTTCAAGCCCATTCCGAATTTCGATTTAATTATCACACTATTTGGAACTACTAATGCAGCAGCACTTTCACCGGAATTTGCGTCTTGAGCAAAAAACTCTTCGCCAAGCTTTTTCAACAAGCACTCCATCAGCAGCGTTTCTTGCTTTTACGTTTCCTCGATTTTTCGAGTACGCAATATCGTGCTCTTTACAAGCCGCATCTAATGGATTGATACCAGGATCTCCACGTGCCAGTCTCTCTTGTAATTTCGTACCAGTAAGTTGGTGATAAAGTTCGCATAAGTAAATATAAGCACATTTTTGAGAAAGGTTATACTCCCATCTTTACTGTAAGCAAAGTAGAGTATATCCGCCCTGTGATACATCAATTAACGGATTATCAAAATCAATCGACAGAAGGTGGATTTTACAAGGAAGAATTAACTCGAGTCCAATATCCTGATGTATATTTGGTGGAAAAAATACTACAAAAACGCGGCAATCAAGTTTATGTAAAGTGGTTCGGATTTGGCAAGGAACAGAATAGTTAGATTAATGAATCAGATTTATAATGGCTCAACGTAAGATGAAAACAATGGCTGAAGAATTCGAATATGTGGAACAAATGGCAAAGAAAATGTACTTTGATGCTAAAAAATTGCCATGCTATACAGATGATGAAGCTACGAATGTCGAATGGACACCATTATCTAACAAAGAACGACAACAAATTGATGAAGGAAAAAAATTAATTGAACGTCTTGATAAAAAAAATAATCGAATGCTAATACAAAAATAATACGGAAAAAATGAAGAATTATAACATAATTTATAAAAAAAAATTTATTTTATAGAAGTACAAAATTGTTTTAACATTTATTAATGAAAAATTGATAAATAAATTGTTTTTTTTCTATTTTTTTACCCCAAGGGGAGAGTATCTGTTGAATTATCGATCAATTGACGTTTATCGTCATCCCAGCTTAAGGCTAATTTTTGTTGTACAATAGTTTGGACATTATGTTTTACACTTTTTATTAAGTACTGCTTTTTAACGATATCAGCATGATCATTTGAACATCGTTTGAAATCATCAAACGTGATGGTTCGCAATGTTGAATTTTTGATTCCTTTAGCCTTTTTTATCTCTTTCTTATCTCCTTCTTCTTCTTCTTCTGTCTCATTATCTAAAAGTTTAAACAAATATAGCTTGGCGTGAAGCCCAACAAATTCTGTCATGATTTCTCTATTGTTCTCGTCTTTCATAAGACCGATGACTTTTATTGATTAAAGGGATTCCATAGATGTTGTTAGGTGGATAGTCGGATATGTCGAATTTGCGAATATCATGTTTGATGATTTCATAAACACCAGGTACTGTGAAATGATATATAAGACTCTCCGTGTCGGTACACAGAAGTTTGGACGCATCATTTGAAAAATTTTTTTTAACACAATTATAATGAAAATCATATAGGAATAGTTTCGATAGATCTAAAATTGTAAAGCCTATGTAAATTGGCTTATTAAAATTAACTTCAAGTCGTCTCATCTCTATTATAGCCATGTCTTCATCAAAAATCGTAACTCTATGGAAATCCGGTTTTGGAATAAGAGCTCCAGCACTACATCAGCCATTCCATTTAGTGATTAGTTCGACATCTTTGCACTTTCTTACGTTTTCTATAGTCTTACCAAATACGACGTTATTTATAAGTTTATCAAAAATTTTTTAAAAATCATTTCTTGCATTTTTACGACATTCTGTATTTTTATCTATATACGGTTTGAGCCATTGAGACTGTTTGAATTCTAATACTCTATGGATTTTTGTACATATTGAACCTAACTCTAAATACTGCTTAAGATTTTGATAATGGATTACATATCTGGTTTTCGGATAAAGAGTTGTTGCCAATTTGGATTGTTTGTGGTTCTGAGTGACATTCTATTTCTCTACCGGAGGCTTTCGATCTCTCTATAAAAGATTTTTAGTCTCTCTATGAGAGATTTTCAATCTTTTTACGAAAAACTAGTTTTTAAAATTATATTGTCAGTAAGTGTTTAAAAGAGATCAATTTGTTGATATAAAAAAAATCAATATTCATGATGCGGATATATTTTTTGCGTTTATAAAGAAATTTTACAAAATATTATAACATTTATTAATGGAGAATGATGTTTTATAAATTTGTTAAATTGTAATTATCACGATAGTTAAAATCATTATTAGTATTATTATCAACATTATAATAGTAAGTATCATTTGTTATGTTACTACTAACATAACCAGCGTTGTTTACATTCAAATAATCATTATTTTTATAATTACTTAGACAACTATGATAATTCTGTGGGTCATACAAATGCATTGGATAACTGTTCGATTGCATAAGATGAGGATTTGAAAACTGATGATGTAGCTAAGGTATGTGGTTATGTGGAAAAAATAATTGAGAAAATGGTGGCTCTTGTTTTTGCGAAGTTCAAGTAGGTAAGGACCAATCAAGTCTGTTATTGTTTTTCACAGTGCAATCATAGTGGAGTAAAACACTTTCATGATGATCATCTGATTCACTGTGTAACTCGGTACTTGACTCATCGTTTCGTAATTTTGTCATCCGACGATTGTAACAATTTTTTTTTTTACTGTTTTTCTCTTCATCACAATTATCTACTTTTGGATGATGTTTGGAATTTTCATTAGCTCGATGTTTTTCCTTTTTTTATGCTTTTTTTTCGGTATGAATATCTTCTTCTATTCTTTTTTCTGATTCCTCGGATGATTATTTTTCGTAATGATTACCATTTTCCGTTCCGGCTTCTTTTGCAATTGTATCATCGATGATTTTTTTATCACGATTATTCACTTTTACATCATCTCCTGAATGTTTATTGGTTTGATGTTCTTTCTTCACTCCATATTTTCTGCCCAATGATGAACACATTAAATTGATGACTCGGTAATATGCTGCAGATTTCATTTTATTTTTGGTCTTCTTTTCTACGTATTCTGAAAATAAATACAATCAACATTTTTTTTGTCCTACATTGTACACATTATCTATAACTTAGAATCTATTTAATTTTTTGTATAAACCTTTGATAGCATTTTTGATTTGGGGTTCAATACCAGCTCGCAACTGATCTCTATTTCCTACTGCACATGATTTTAAAAGCGTTTCCTTTCCGATGAA